CAAGTTGACTCCACAAAGTGACATCTTTGCTCTTTAAGACATTAAAGAGCTCTTTTGCAGCAGCTTTTCCCATTGCATTACATCACTTGATTTCTTCCCTGCTGCTTCCATGAGTATTGATTATGAATCTAAATAAAATGAAATCTTGACAACTTTAATCTTTTTCCCATTCATCATGAAGCTGTTTACTGGTTTGGTTGTGAGGATTTTTCTTTTCTTTACATTTAGTTGTAATCCATATTGAAGCCTGTATTCTTTGATCTTCATCAACAAGTGCTTCAAGTTCTCTTCCCTTTCAGAAAGCAGGTTTGTGTTATCTTCTTATCTCAGGTTGGTAATGAGCCTTCCTCTAACCCTGATGCCATATTCTTCATATATTCTTCATATATATTCTTCAGTTACTTGGATTATTTGCTCAGCGTACAGATTGAATGAGCACTGTGAATGGATACAACCCTGATGCACACCTTTTCTGATTTGAAACCGCACAGTATCCCTTTGTTCTTTTCAAACAGCTGTTACCGGCCTATGTATAGGTTCTACATGAACACAATGAAATGTTCTGGAAGTCCCATTCTTCACAATGCTACTCCTAGTTTTTTATGCTTCACACAGTCAAATGCCTTTGCAGAGTCAATAAAACACAAGTAAACATCTACCTGTTATTCTTTGCTTTCATTCAAGATCCTTCTAACATCAGTAATGATATCCCTTGTTTCACATCCTCTTCTGAATCTAGCTTGAATTTCTGCCACTCCTTGTGTGTGTCCTGCCACAGTCGCTTTTGATTTATCATCAGCAAAATTTTACTTGCACGTATATTTTCTTTATTTATACCTGCAGTATCTCTGAAGTCCTGGTGTGGCCCTGTGGGTTAATGCACCAGATTGCAAAGCCGTTTAAACTGCAAGGTTGGTGGTTCAAGCTCACCAGTCACTCCTCAGAAACCCTACACAGGGTTGCTATGGGTCAGAACCGACTCAACGGCACCCAACAACAACAATCTCTGAAGCATACCTGTATACACTTCTATGTATTTTATACAAGAGGTCTTCAAAAAGCTTGTGAAAAATGAAATTAAAAGATGATGTAATTTTCCCATGAACAGTCCCCTCATATACATATATGTGTGGCAGGACATGTTTGCTATAATTGTTACACAAATCTTATACAATTGTCTAGTTTTTTCATCTTTATGTTCTATTAATTTCTGAGAGAGATGTATATTAAATTATACTGGTCTAACTACACATTTGTCCATTTCACCTAATATTTACATCAGCCATGTATGTTTTAGGACAATGTCATCAGGTACGTACAATGTAGAATTGTTGTATCCTTTTCACGAACTGAACTTTTATCATTTTGTAAGACCGTTTTTGCTTCCAGTAATGGTTTCTAACTTTTTCATATTAATATTTAGATGTGCCTTAACTAAACATCAGGCACCCTGGTATGGTGCTGTGGGCTAATGCGTCAGACTGCAAAGTCATTTGAACTGCAAGGATGGTGGTTCAAGCTCACGAGCTGCTCCTTAGAAATCTATACAGGGTTGCTATGGGTTGGAATAGACTCAACGTTACCAACAACAAATAAACATCATATTGCTTTATTCTTAAACAAGTCTGCTATCCTTTGTCTTTTAAAGGGAAGGATTTATTCCATATAAAATAAAATATATTTAAGTTGAAATACATTTTTTTTTTTTTTTTTTTACTTGCATGTGATATTAATGATACTGCTCACTGATTTCCAAATTCAGTTAGGTCACTATTCTTTGGAATGGACATTCTTTCAATTGGCTGATCTGGTAACTGTCAACCCAATTTCTTGGCACTGACAAGTGAGTGCACACCGCTAGTGCACATTAGTCTGTTGAAACATTTCAGTTACTATCCCATCAATTCTAGGAGCCTTCTTTTTCACTTTATTGTAGCTTGGATCTCTTCCTTCAATACCATCAGTTCTTGATCATATGTTACCTCTTGAAATGTTTGTGCATCAACCAATTTGTACTGTTCAATACTTTGCCTATTGCTGTTGTTGCCACCCTGTATAGTGTTTCCAAGGAGCGGCTGGTGGTTTGAACCACCAAATTGCAGTTTACTTATCCTTTACTTCGTCATACCAAGTCTCCATTTTACCCACTGTTGTTGTCAGTTCCAACCCTGCATAGGGTTTCCAAGGAGCAGCTGGTGAACTTGAACTGCCAACCGTGTGGTTCAAACTGACTTTGCATTCCAGAGCATTAACCCACAGTGTTACTCCTTTAATATTGTAAGAGACAGAAATTTTTTCTTCAGTTCTTTCATATTGAGAAATACTGAGCATATTCTTCCATTTTAGTTTGCTAGCTTCAAACCTTTATAATACTTTGTCTTCTTGAGTTGTCCTTTGAAATTTTCTGTTCAGCTCTTTTACTTCATCATTTCTTCCAGAAGCACTAGCTTCTCTATATTCAAAAGCAAGTTTCAGAGTCTCTTATAGCATGCATTTTGGTCTTTCATTCCTGTCTTTTTAATGACTTTTTGCTTTCATTATTTATGATGTTTTTGTTGTCACCCCACAACTTGTCAGGTCTTCTGCCTCAAATACATTCTTGAGATGGTCTCTAAATTCAGGCAGGATACACTTGGGATCATATTTTGTTTTTCATGGACTTGTTTTGTTTTCTTCAGCTCTAGCCTGAACTTGCATATGAGCAATTGATGGTAACTTCCACAGTCGGTCTCTGATCTTATTTTGTTTTATGATATTGAGCGTCTCTATTGTCTCTTCCCACAAAAATAGTCAGTTTGATTTCTGTGTATTAGATCTGGTCCACACATATAATTGCCAATTATGTTGTTGAAAAAAGGTATTTGCAATGAAGAAGTGGTTGGTCTTGCAAAATTCTATTATGTGATCTCCAGCATCAATTCTATTACCAAGGTAGTATTTTGCCACTACTGATCCATCCTCTATGTTTCCACCTTTTAAATTCCAGTTGCCAGTAAGTATTAATGCATCTTGATTGCATGTTTGATTAATTTCAAACTGGAGCTGAATTTTTCAATTTCTTCAAATTCTTCAGTTTCTTCCTAACTGGCTTCAGTGGTTGGTTTGTAAATTTGAATAATAGTTGCATTAGCTGACTTTCTTGTAACTATATAGATATCACAGATAGCATTGTATTTCAAGACAGATCTTAAAATGCCTGTTTTGATGACTCTTCAATTTGTCATTTCTGGCATAGTGAACCAAATAATCATATGGTTTAGCCAATACATGTGCACTTGAACTCATTAATACCTAGATTGTTATGTGTTCCATTTCAGTTTTTACAACTCCCAATTTTCCTAGATTAATATTTCATAATTCCATGTTATAATTATTACTGCATGTTTATAGTGGTTTGTTCTTATTTTGAGTCAAACTCCATCAGTAAATGAAGGTCCTTATTGTTAAGGTCCACTTTACTTTGAGGAGGCAGCTCTTCTTCAGTTGGAATTTGAGTGCCTCCCAACTTGAGGGGGTCATCTTTCGGCACTATATCAGCCAGAGTTTTGCTGTTATTCAGAAGAGTTTTAGGAGCTAATCCCTCAGAACAGCCTATTCCTTCTTCCTAGTCTGTTCTTAGTCTGGAAGCTCCACTGAAACCTGTCCACCATGGGTGACCCTGATGGTATTTAAAACACCAGTGGCATAGCTTCTAGCATCATAGTAACACAAAAGCCACCAGAGTACGGCAGACTGACAGACATGTGGGACAATGTATGACATATGAGGATGAAGGCTAACAACATACAGTGTCTGTAAAGGCCCATAATCTCAATGTGAAATACTTCCCCCTTCCCTCTCCAAAGAAGTTTTAAGGGAGCTCTAAGGAATAGGAGGGATTTTAAGGCTTTACTTATAGTGACAAGTGAAGCCAAAATAGCAGGGCTAGATGTAGACCTAGATGTAGTTCTCTGTGAAGAGCAAAAGATGCTTGGACCCTGGGGCTGAGGGGAGATAGGAAGGAATCCACTCCCGAAGCCACAGCTTTTTTACCCAGGGCTGTCTTTTTGGAGGGTCATCTCTCCATTGTGTTCTTCCCCAAAGATCTTCTAATCCTGTCCTGATATTCTTCCTGCTGCAGAAAGGCCTCAGGTATGGAGGGATGATAAACTTGACTGTCTCAATTTTACACTGATTATTATCTTAATTATTGAAAACTTATTAAGGATAACTGATACCTAAGTCCTACTTCATTACTCTTGCTTCTCAGTTTTCTAATCTAAACACTATCTTTTTGTTGACTCAGAAGAAATTTAGAAGCAGTTGACTATATTTGAAATAAATAAAATTTCATTAGGACTCCCAGTGTGGTGCTGTAGGATCAACACTGGGCTGTGAACCACAAAGTCAGCAGTTCAAACCCACCAGCTATACTTTAGAAACCCTATAGAGGGTCACTAAGAGTAGGAACTGACTCAATTGCACTTAAAAATGGCAATAGTAACAGCATAGCCTTGGTGTGGTTAGTGCGGGATAAGCACTGACTGGTAACCACAAGGTCAACAATTCATACCCACCAGCCTTCTCATGTTGTTCTGGTCTGGCACTGGGAGTTAATGCTTCTTATTTCATGAGCTAAGTAAGAATGGCTTTTACTTTTTTAAATGGTTGAAAACTTAAAGTAAATAGTCTTTTATGACAAAGTCAAATTCCATAAATAAAGTTTGAATTTCATAATCTTTTCTTGTTATTTAGTACCTATATAGTATCCTTGATTGTGCCTTTTGGTCTGCAAACCATAAAAACATATCTGTTTATAGATATAAAAAGATATAAGCCCTACCTGGTGAGGCGCTGTGGGATAAAACACTGGACCTCAAGGTTGGTTTGAATCACATGATTGGTGGTTCAAACTCACCAGCTGCTCCTTGGAAACCCTATACAGGGTCACTATGAGTTGGAACCAACTCAGTTGTACTTAATAACAACAGCAACTGTAAGAGAACAAAGCATGCGAATACCTGGAAACTCAGCAACCCTTGCATCTCTTCTTGCTGACTGAGGGTTGCTGTAAGGAAAGGAGAGGTAGCGGATATTTTTGGTGCCGACCTGAGTAACAAGTGAAAACAAAAGGGACAATTAGCCATTGCAGTTGAAAGCTTCATTTGGCAAATAAAATTAAGGACACTGACCTACACTGAGGTATTTTCTTTTAATTACTGGTTTGCAGCATGTTTCAGCTTTCAATGTTTATTTCCTTTCTATCTCATAATAAAATGGGTCATTATAGATCTTTTGAAAGATACTTTCAGACTCTCATTGAACTTGGGTATGTGATTAGGGTCAGATTTAGGCTCAACCTTCATCTAGAAATTTCAGTAATACTGATTGGAGATGCCATAAAATAGACAGTTCAGGCACACAGTGGGTTAAGTGAAGAAGAGGCACAAGTGTCGTGACAAATGAAGCTTCTTACACCTTCCTGGCAGACAAATTAACTTCCTAGAACCAGATGTTCTGGCCCATGGATGTTCCTCTGGAATGTTCAGTCTGGACAGCATAGTGTCTGTCCCTGAACACACAGACTAATAAACATGTTCCAGTCATAGATCCATTCCAGAAGGCTGTCACTGTCATGGACAGATGTCTTGGGTTCCTAAGACCAAGACCCAGAGAAGAAGGTTGCCTTGCTGTCCTGAGCCTTCTTAACTTGCGTGTTTCTCTGGCAACAAGGTGTTATTTATTTATTTATTTTTAATATCAATGGTAGTTCACCTGAGAAGGCCCCATAGAAGGACCAGCCCAGTTATCAGGCAGTAAACATTTGCTAAGTAAAGGAATGTCCTGAGTCAACAGTCCCAACCAGTACCGGCTTTCCCCACGGTAGACTGTGGCCTTTCCTCATGCTCTCCCTTAAGGTGTTCTGGCGGCGGATTAGAATCTCTTTTGCCTGCTTCTCACTTGATTGGGGCTTGAGGTTGTATTTGTTGTAGGACAGGGTCTGCAAAGACAACAGAATAACAAATACCTAAGGACATCTCCAGTATAAGCTTCAACTTCAGGAGGTTACTGAAAAAAATTATAAAACAAACAATATAGAACAGGAAGGCACTTTGGGTGTTGTCTGGTACAACTGTCTCATACTACCAATGAGCAAGTCCAAGCCCAGAGAAGATAGGCTACCCACTGTCAGACCAGAGCTATATTTTGACCTCCTGTCTCTGACTACCCAAAATCAGGGAAAGTGTTTTCTATTTGTATTCCGTTTCTCTGTATCCTTGCAGCTTCCCACTAAGGTACCCATCACCCAGAAACCCCATAGACTCAGTTTCTCTTTCAAGTCATGATTTTCTTTTAAAATGCTAGACCTAGTCTTTTAACTTAAACAGATCTGGTAAATGTCAAAAGTACAAGGTATATTGGAAATTTCCATAGGATTACCATGTTTTAAATTTTAGTGTCATTGAAAGAGACTAAAATACATTTATCACTTAATTTTACAATCATCATCAATTCTAAAAGGAAGAGCTATTTTCAGCAAAATAGCTGTTATTATTGTTGTAAGTGCCATTGAGTCAGTTCCGACCCATAGTGACCCCGTACAGGGTTTCCGAGGCTGTAAATCTTTACGGGAGCCTCATCTTTCTCCCGTGGAGCAGCTGGTAGTTTTGAATTGCTGACCTCGCAGTTTCCAGCACTATTAGTAACTGCTATGCTACCAGAGCTCTATCAAGTCAGTTCTGACTCATAGCAACCCTATCTATATATGAGCATTATGAAACACTGCCAAGGTCTGTGTCATTCTCATAATCTTTGCTGTATTTGAACCCACTGTTACAGTCACTGTATCAATTCATCTCATTGAGGGTCTTCCTCTTTCTTTCTCAATGACCTTCTATATTATCAAGCATAATCTCCTACTCCAAGGACTGGTTCCTCCTGATAACATGTCCAAATTATGTGAGAAAGTCTTGCCATCCTAGTTTCCAAGGAGCATCCTGGTTGTACTTCTTCCAAGACTGATTTGTTTTTCTTTTGGCAGTCCATGGCATCTTCAATATCTTTCACTAACACCATAATTCAAATACATCAATTCTTCTTTGATCTTTCTTATTCATTATCTGACTTTCACATGCATATGAGGCAACTGAAAACACCTTGGCTTGAGTCAGGTACACCTTAGCCCTTATGGTGATATCTTTGCTTTGTAACACTTTAAAGAGGTCTTTTGCAGCAGATCATTATGCAACAAACAAAATAGTAGAAAGGACATAATCTCAGATAAAGAACAGTTCTCTAAAATAAGTGCACTTAATATGGCTCTTCTACCCATATGTGGTTGTTGTTGTTAGGTGCCATCGAGTTGGTACCAACTTATAGCAACCTCATACACAACAGAACGAAACACTGCCTGGTCCTGGGCCAACCTCACAATTGTTGCCACACTTAAGCCTATTGATGCTGCCACTTGGCCAATCCATCTCATTGGGGGTTCTTCCTCTTTTTCTCTGACCCTCCACTCTACCAAACATGTATCCTTCTCCAGTGACTGGTCCCTCCTGACAATATGTACAAAGTGTGAAAGACAAAGTCTGGCCATCCTGGCCTCCAAGGAACACTCTGGCTGTACTTCTTCCAACACAGATCTGCTTGTTCTTTTGGCAGTCCATGGCACTTTCAGTATTCTCCTCCAATACCATAACTCAAAAGCATCAGTTCTTCTATGATCTTCCTTATTCACTGTCCAGCTTTTGCATGCATATGAGCATACATATACCATGACTAAGGTCAGGCGCACCTTAGTCCTCAAGTGGACATCTTTGCTTTTCAATACTTTAAAAGAGTCTTGTGCAGTAGATTTGCCTAATGCTATGCATCACTTGATTTTCTCCATAGTCTTTGTAATGCCCACCAACAACAATCTGCTATAATGAGTCTCAGTAAGAAAAGATGTGAGAAGATATTGATGGAATAATATGATTCAGCTATAAATGATTGCTAATGGAGTTCATTATGATTGTGAAAACCTGAAACTCCAACCTGGGTATAAAATAAGCATCTTAGAAGCAGGAGGCGGGAATCTCATTATCATCAAGGAAAAAGAGCTGGGAGTGAAGCACATCCTTTGGACTCTGATATCCCTGTGGATTGAACCTCCTTGACCCAAGGGCAGAAAACTGTGAAACTGGAGGTGTAGCAGAGGGGTGGCAGAGCAGCAGCAGCAGAAGCAGAAGAACTAAGAGCTAAAGCACCAGACAGAACAGTGGGCTTCCCAGTCCATGGAGCAGGTAAAATTTGGGAAGGAAGCTTGCTTGCAGAGTGGGGTGCCTCTAGGCACTTATTTGGGAAAACTAAAGCTGTGTGCCTTTAGGATGAAGTTTATGGTGGAGTGGTGTTCCCTGAAGTAATTTATCAGCAGTCCTAAAAGAACTTGCAGGCAAAGAGAGAGGCCTGCTTGTAGGCATGACTGAGGAGAGGCTATCTGGACTGGAAGAACTGTGCCCTGAACATTGCTGACCCTGAATTTTAATGTACCAACTTCCCTAATCAACCCCTTAACTGTGAGTGTGTGTCTGAGTTCTGTGTGGCCACTGCAGTGAATTCTAGAACTCAGCTGAGTAGACAGTCCTGTGGAGGGATGGTTGGTATCATTTTTTGAGATAACTAAGTTTTGTTGGTGTTGTGTTTCATATTTCTCCTGTTTTGTTGAAATATGTAAGTTTTGTTGTGGTTGTTGACGTATTTCTCCTGTGGAGTGAATGGTGGGTTTGAACCTCTGACTTTGAGGTTATTGTTGTTGTTAAGTGCTGTTAAGTCTATTTCAACCTATAGCAACCCTGTATAGGGGTTCTGAGGAGCAGCTTGTGAGCTTGAACCACCGACCTTGCAGTTCAAAAAGATTTGCAGTCTGGTGCATTAACCCACAGCACCAGGACTCCAACCTTGAGGTTAGCATCTGTAATACTTAGATTCTGTGACAAAACTTGACTAGGCCAGGGTTTGGCAGTTAAGACTTATAATCTCCCGTGATGAAATCTTCTGTGAGCATCCAATCAATTGAAAGGAAATTTCCTTGAGGGTGTGGTCTGCCTCCAATATGTTGAATACTCTCAAAACGTGTACTTGCTTTCTGCTGGATGTGGACTCTGCATCTGTCTTGCTGTCCACCCTCTGGTTCTTCAGACTTGAGCCAGTGGCCTCCCATCTTACCTGCCTGACCTGCCTGTCTGCCATCCATCCTATGGATCTTGGTTCATAAGCCCTGCTGTGTGTGTCTATGTATATTACTGGAAGGGAATTCATGCACTTAGATTTGGATTCTGTTGTACTAAGGTTGCTTTGAGTCAGAACTGACTCGAAGGAATCTAATAACAATAATAATAGACTTGGGAAAAGGTTAGTTTTAAGGAAGATTTGGACATATAAATCTTCCATTTTGTCTCACATCAGATTACCCATGTATTTATCTATTTTTCCTATCCCTAGGAAGCATGGTGTATATTCTTGGTATATACAAGTATATTCTCTCTTCTCCCTCCAATTCCACTCTTTAATGAAGAAGTTAGTGGTTATGGTAAACCTCTACTTCCAACCAAACCTTGAGTTCTCCAGGAAAAAGAACTGCATCTGTCTTACTCAGTGTAGTATTTCCAATGCCTGGCACATTCCAAATGTGCATTTGATATTTGATGAAAACCTAATAACTTGTTTTCTTCTTTTGAAAGTTCATAGAAATCTCAGGGTGGACCTGATGATGTGGGCTGCCTCAGGGATTATAATTCAATCTTTGACCTATCCTGGAGGTCAGGATTGAAGGCAGTTTCTTCACTTTTAGTTTAGAAAGAGTGTTTCTCCATCTCCATTCCCACAGTTTTCTAGTACAGAAGCCTCTGTGATTCTCCAACTGAGAAGCAGAATCTAGAACATGTCCCACCCTGTAGAGGTTAGTCCCTCAACGTCTCTACCAGGAACTATCCTGTACTGGACTTGTGGAGGGGAAGAAACTTCTATTAGGAGTGGTCAGAGCCTTCCAATGTGTCACGGGCCACAGAAATGCCAAGTCAGTTTTAGGATTCAATTGCTTACCAGTTATCACCACAGAATCAAATCCTGTACTCATCTGTGTACTGCCCTGAAGTGACTTCTAATCCGAAAGATGGTGTCAATAGTAAGAAAATACCCCAACAAGCAGTCTAGTGGCCTCGACCACCCTGTTGAGACACAATTAAGTTTCTGTTCTCCTAACTAAGCAGAGAGAACTTGAAATCTGTTTTAAAGAGGTTAACATGAACAAGACTATTCAAGTGTCAAATAGCAGATATATAGTTGTTCTGAGTTACATTGTTAGGTAGATTTTTAACTTTGAAAAGGCAGGTAGACCATGATGAAGGCAAGGAGTCACATCACCTTTGTAAAAGGGTTAGAAATGAATGCTAGAAAGGGAAGAATCAGGGAAATTCATTTTATAAAAGTAACAAAAGTGGAGGCGTAAAGCAATTTCAGAGGCTGAAACTCTCCTCTGTTTATTATTTATGTTTTCCCCATTTGACACCCCACGGTGGCCAGCAATATATTCTTTAGAAGTGGTCAATGAGCTTAAACTTGGGAGCAACAAAAAAGTTAGATGCTGAATAGCTTATTGTTGTTAAGTACCATCGAGTCGATTCCAATTCACAGCAACCCTGCACAAGGTTTTCAAGGAGCAGCTGGTGGGTTGAACTGCTAACCTTTTGGTTTACAGTCCAGCACTTATCCTACAGCACCACTCCAGAAGTCTGCTGAATAGCTTAGAAGGCAGAATTCCCTAGAACAGACTGCTTAGACAGACTTATAGAAAAAGAAAAATATTGGCTATCTCATAGTGGTTATGAATCGGGCTGTGAACCGCAAGGTCAGCAGTTCGAAACTACCAGCTGTTCCATGGGAGAACGAGGAGGCTTTCTGCTCCCATAAAGATTTACAGCCTCAGAAGTGCTGTACAGGGTCACTATGAGTCAGAACCGACTCCATGGCACATAACAACAGGCACTTGTGTCAAAGGAATAAAGTACAGAATAGGAAGTTGGCTTTATTTTAGACTAGATAGGAGTCCGAAGAATTTTCATTTCTATTTCTGGACTTTTCCCCCAAATGTAACCTTCATCAGCATGGGGGGGGGGGGGGGGAGTCTGAGTACCAGGCACTCTTTGTATCATGGCTGTTCTCATTAGCCAGACTTTTTCAAACCAGGAAGTTTTCATCTCCTTATCTAAGGTAGAATGTGATAGCATTGCTGAGACAGTTTTACTTGGAATGATTTGAAAGCTGTGTAATTTACTCTAAGAGTTCTTTGATTAATTGTGACCCATATTCTGTCAGCTGGTAGAAAGCCTTCCCATGACAGGTTCTCCTAATCAATGAGTTATCTCAAACAGCAAGTCAGAAAGCATTCATCTTCATTGGCTTATATCTGTGTGGAGTCATGTAAAGATTGGTTGGTGGTTGAAAGATCTAAGTACTTAACCTCAATGTGTTCTGTGACCTTGAACAACAAAATAACCAACTTCTCAAACTTCAGCATTTTTTATTAAAATGGAGGAACTGTGACTAGAAGAATTCTTTTTTCTGTCCCATTGAGACTATAATCTAAGCCAGTTACAAAAGCCAAGGCTTTCATAAATAATTGACTTATAATCATACTCAAGCATTGTCCAGGACAATTTAATCCTCACACTTGAAGAAAACTCTTGAGTAGAGGACACAAGTTTAAATTTCAGTTGGCAAAATCAAAGTTTCAGACGGACACACATATTGCCCCTAGGAATGTTCTTGCTGTGCATTTTGGACCAGTTCCCAAGTGTTAGAATAGACTTCAGATCTATTTTGTTTTAATATGTAAGTCTGGTCCAAAATGAAAACATAATATGCCAAATACATCTTCTTTTATTCAAGCTTCAAGAAGTGCAGTTTCAGTATTAGACTCTAATCCATTTCAATTGTTCAAGCTTTATCAGAGTCAGTGACTTTGAGACAACTTGATTATCATTAGCATCCTGGTGCCATCTTTCTTCTGTGGTGCTGGTGGATGAGCTTCCCCACTTGTCTGTGTCTAGAGAGAGATGATGACATGCTTGGTCTGGAAAGCGCAAGGCTGCAGAGCTAGGGCAGCCTGACCCCTAGAGCTGGCAACTGGATTTGCATTTCTCTTTATACCACAGGTTACAATTTGTTACAGCAGAAAGAAAACAATTAAGTTTCTGTTCTCCAAACTTAGCAGAGAAAACTTGAAATCTGTCTTCAAGAGGTTAATGTGAACAAGAACTGATTCCTGGAAGAGTGGTTCCAAGGATAGGCAGTAGGTGTATTGCAAGTGATTTATACATACCCTTTGTCGAACTTGGTACATGTTGCGTGTCAGAATGTCTTTCATGGACTCTACGTCTTCAGGAGAAAGCCTTTTGGTTCCATGTATTCTCTGAGCCCTAGAAACATCATTGGAAGCAATCCAGGCATTATTCTTCCATCTTAGCAAAAAGTATGGAAATCTAAAGTTCCAAAGCTTGTCTTTGCAGAATATTTCCTATTGTTTTAATTCATATCAAATTATGTTAATTTTATTAAAATAAAAATTCATTGGTTGTTAAATTACTTAAATAAATCCATGTGGAATATCAAAACATGAGCTTATATTCTGATATTCAAATTTAAAACTTTAACTTACAGTTTCAGTTACATGGTTCCTTGGCCCATCTATAGCTTTGATGTGGGAATTATTCTAAGCCTTTTTTTTTTTTTTAAAGGATTTAAGGTAAAACAACCAGTTGTTTTGTTCCTCCAAATCTGTTATGAACTGACACATTTTGTAAAATACAATAAATATCAATGATCAGAAAATAAAAATATTTAAAGATATTGGAATTGACTTGAAGGTAGTGGGTAAGTGGGTATAATAAAATGCAAACCATATATTTCATTTTTCTAGTCAAAGGAGTAAAATTACTTAGTCAAAGACTGACTCTCATTTCTCGGCTTGCTTTACTTGCAAACTGTTAACTGATCAACACTACTCCACACACGACATTGTAACTCAATACTGATCCAGGAAATAGTAAAGTTTTATGAATACATATATCTGGAAATTGTCCCCTTAGAGATTTTTATCTTAAAACGCTATTGTAACAAACTAGAATCACAGTTACCAGGAGAACTGGACCATTTTCACCAGGAAACCCAGTCTAAGCTTGGAGACATTGGGCACTTTATATGAGATTCTAGAAGCAGGAGACCACTCACTGCTTTAGCACTGAGCACCTCCACATCCTTCTCTCACCATGAGCCTGCCTCCCACTCAGGGTGTTCCAAAACCAGGTCATGCACAGGTTAGCAGTCAATGAACAATCGTCCTCTGGGATTCTAGAGTCATGATATTGCTATGTTCAGAATTCTCATCTGATAAATATATTTGAATACAATTCAGTGCCAGCAGTTTCAAAAACAAACAACTTTTTGTAACATAAATAACATATAATGACTGTAGAAAATAAAAGCAATTAACAACAAAAAAGAGAATTAAATAAAATCAACCCCTTCTTTTAATATTATCAAAGAGCCCTGGTATCATAGTGGCTAAGCACTCAGTTAGTAACCAAAAGGTCAGTGGTTCAAACCCACTAGGTGCTCTGGGGGACAAAGGTGTGTCAGGCTGCTTCCATATAGATTACAGCCTTGGAAACACTGCGGGGCAATTCCAACCTGGCCTATTGGTTCTCTAAGAGTTATATATAATTGATTCAACAGCATGAGTTTGCTTTAATTTTTAAAGTAACTATCTCCTCTATTAACATCTTGGTATAAATCCTTTCAGAGTTGTGTTTTTTTTTTTCCCCTTCTTCCCAAATGGCAGCTTTTCTTAGTACAGAAGTGAAGTGATAGGCTAAATATCTGTTTAGGCATTGAGCTGCTAACAGTAAAGTTGGTGGTTCGAACCCACCAGTCACTCTGAGGGAGAAAGATGAAGCTGTCTGCTCCTATAAAAATTTACAGTCTCAGAAACCCTATATAGGGGAGCTATGAGTTGGAATCAACTCAATAGCAGTGGATTTTTTTTTTTTTAATTATATATATTTCCAAACATTAATAGAAACGCAACCATACATAGCAAGAAAATGTTGAAAAATAGTGTATGACTTATGAAAGACCTTTAAGGGCTTGGATACTGGACATTAAGGTACGTCTGGATTTTATTTAGCAATGCTAATAGACTAATCAGTGTCCCTCTACAAAATTTTTTGAAATCAATATTTCTGTATCTCAGAGCTATGAAAGTAATTTCTATTCATATTTAGGTGCCATCCTCAGTGGTCTAAACATTATTTCATTTCAAAGGGCATTTCAACCTCGCTGTTTAAACGTCCTTCAACCTTGATATTTAAATGCCCACCACCACACATGATCTGAACATATCTTCTATTTACAGTGGGTGTATTCTATTGCTAAGCAAAAACAACAGCTAATCAAATAGTTCCATTGCCTGTGTTTATAATAAAACAACCAGATAGAGAAAAACAAAACAAGTAGGTATAGTTAAACTTGATAATACAGTAGATCTAACTTAGCACTCTCGCTGGTTTATAATTAAAGACTTTGGGAAGGAACAGATTTAATTAACTCTGGCTGCTGGCCCAAATGATTAACATAGGGATTCCAGAAGCATGATCTCTCATGGATCCAAACTAAGAGGCTGCAGCATCAAATGACTTAGAGGGATGGTAATGTGGGCAAGGTGACACCTGGGGTCCCCGACATGTCTCTCCCTTAGCAGAATCATCCCTGAAAGGCTCATGCCATGAGCATAAGAAAGATAAAATCCTTTGGAAGACAAAATTAAAATTACAGTAAAACACATTTGTCGCTGGAGCATTCAAGAGAAAGAATTTTCTACCTTTAAATAAAAAAATTGGTGATAATTTTATGGTTACTTATATCAAACTGGAATCCTGGTGTGGCACTGCAGGATAAGCACTGGATCACAAGTTGGATTGAACCACAAGGTCGGTGGTTCAAACCCATCAGCTATTCTTTGGAAACCCTATACAAGGTTACTATGAGTTGGAACCGACTCAGCAGCAATTAACAACAACAATACCAAACTATGAACAACTCATTCTGAACAAATCTAATATGTTCACATATCTCTTGTCATTTTTTACAGTCACATGTTATAATAGAAAAAGAAGCTTCAAATCTAAGGATGTCAGTGCTAATTTTAAACCTAGTAGATGTTAGATTCCTGTCAAAGTACGAATTTTTAGGAGATTAAATATTACACCCTGATTCATTTAGAAGAATCCATCTTCTTTGAGTGGATCTAGACAATGACATCTGTGGGAAATGTATGCGGATGGGAAAATAACTAAAGGACATGCCCGCTGACTGAATGCAGTACCCAACAGCTGTTCTGTGTGTGTGGTTAATCTGTGTCTTTGTAGAAAGGTCACCAAGAAAGCCAACATTTAGAAAGAATGAAGAATGGGGAGCAGATGGCATTGCTTTCCATAGCATACACAGTTCCAGTGAGGAAATGAAAATGACACTTTGAGTTCAAGGGTCTTCAGTGTAAGAATGCATCAATTTGAACTAATAGCTGTCAATATGCAATCAATGAAAATTTAAGCATTGACATTTTAATTGTATCGTAAAATGTCCAAAACAAAAAGTTTACCATTTTAAACTCTTTTTAAGTGTGCAATTCCATGACATCAATTACTTTGCCATGTTGCACTCATCACTGCTATCCATTTCTAAAAGGTCTTGGTTACCCCAGTGTTCCTTTAGCAATAATTCCCATTTCCTCCTATCCCTAAAGCCACATGCTGTAGCTTGCTCTGAGTCAGTTTCAGCTCATAACAAACCTGTGTAGGGTTTCTGAGACTGTAAATCTTTACAGGAGCAGAAAGTCTCATTTTCTCCCTCAGAGCAACTGGTGGATTCAAACTGATGACCTTGCAGTTAGCAGCCCAACATAGAACCCACAACGCCACTGGGGCTCCTTCCACAACCAAGTTGCTGTTATTGCTGTTAAGTGCTGTCGAGTCAGTTCTGACTCATAGTGACCCTATACAGGGTTTTCAAAGAGTGGCTGGTGGATTTGAACCAGACCTGTAGTTAGCTATCCAGTGCTTATCTTACAATGCCACACCAAGACTGCAAAACCAGGTTGTTGGTATTGTTAGGTGTCAGCTGACTCATAGCGATCCTGCATAGAGTTTCTGAAGAGCACTGGTGAGTTTGATCCATTGATCTTTGCAGTTCATGCTGACCTTTCTGTCCAGTGCTTATCCTACGGCCCCACATCAGGACTTCCCCAAACCATTTTTGTTGTTAAATGTTGTTGAGTTGGTTCCAACTCATAGAAACTCCATATAGGCTTTCCTGGGAACAGCTGGTGGGATTGAACTGCCAACATTGTGTTTCACAGTCCAGTGCTGAGCACCACATCAGAAGTCACCCAAACTAGGTAGTCACTAATAAATCTCGTATCTATGCATTTGCCTACTCTGAATATCTTATAAAAGTGGAACCCGACAATATTTGGAGCTGCAATGCTTTTAATTAAGTTGAGTCTCTGTTATCTGATATTTCTGAAGGTTTACCACTCATTGATAAGACATTTAAAGTAAATCATCAAATACATACTCTATTTCTTAGGGTTAATTTGAAGTTCAAATAAGACAATGCATGTAAAAACAATGACACTTAATTACCAGTGGCATCCACACTGTGCTATGTTCAACCAGTGGTACTACTCTTGCAAAAGGACAGAGAGTTTTAGATATTTAAACCTCTTAAGAAACAATTGCTTCAATTTCTGAAGAAAAAAATTTAATGTGCACTTTGCTGTTATCATCTTGGACAGAAGAAGAAAAAACGAGCTGAGTACACACTTCTTTTTCCTCTGATTGTATGAAGGTTTATTGCTCAAAACATTAGCTACTTTGATCTTAGGAAAGGAATTCCTCTTTGCCAGACATCCTACAGATTTCTGATGAGATCAAATAAATTCAATTTAAATGCTAACTTCATACTAAGCATTAGTTTTGGGAAAAAAAATTCCTCTCTCACCTCAGTTAAATCACTGGTTTGGTAATAGAAGGAGGGAAAAAAAAAATTTTTTTTTAACCTACATAGTTTCCTTACTAATAGAGGGGCCCCTTTCCAAATAAAGTGGGTTTAAAAATTCTTTTGAGGCCAGAAATTGGGTAATTGCTTAAGACCTGTGCAATCTAATGCTGAGATTGTAACCTATTTTACCACATGATAGACTGATTCTCATTTGCAATAAGTGTCCCTGTATACCTACACCAAGTGTTCATATAATTAGTAAGCAACCCAATTCAGGAAGTCCCTAATGCTCTAAACTGTCAGAACTTAGACAACTAACTCCACTGCAGGTAACTCCACTGCATCTAGTTAGCTCCAACTCATCCATCAGTGAACAGGTGCAATTCTGGGAGCCAGACGATGTTCACCTCTTATACTTGGATACTTGCTAGCTCCTATTCTTCTTGATTTGCATTCATTTGACTTTTAATTAATGTCTTTGACTCTGCTGGAGTATGATGAAAGTCCCATGAAAGCAGGGACTGTGTCTTCTTCCACAGTGCTTGATACATAATAGGTGCCCAATTAGGATAGTTGGGTCTAAGGTAGAGCAAGTGAAGCACAAAATGTATGCATGTGGCTGCCTTCAGAGCCTGCCATTTGTGGAATATTCACTACTTTAAATTATTGCACATTCAAAAAAAAACCTTAATAATCAATGTAAGTATCAATTTTTGATGCAAAATTTTATAAAATAAAGTTGAATGTAAAAATCCAGAATAAATAAAATATCAAAAATTTAATTAAAAATGGGATCAGTATTATTGATTGCTTCTTTTGCCACATGACATTGCCAATAAACATTCGTTAGCACATTCCCATTTTGATATCAGAAGTTTCCTTAAAACAAATAACCAACTGAAACTTCACTGAAAAATAAGCAAAAAGCTTTCTATTTACATTGAGATGCTTTCAGGGGAGCTAGATGTTTCCATCTTTTCCTGGCCAAGTAAGAAACGGCCAGGGTGTTTCTGGTTCATTAACAGGTAAGGGCTGAAAGTGTTATCTCAGAAACAACACTCAGCCATCCGTGTCAATTCCATTGCTGCCTATTCTTAGCTCTTCTCAGCTTGCTCTTTAAAGGTGAGGACCTAATTGAAGCTCATGACCCAGTCAGTGTGTTTACCTGCTGAAGATGACAGGCTGGAGGGGGCTAGTGCTCCTTCTCTTGAATACAGTGTTTTGTGATTACTTTCCCTAATTCTTAACCATTTCTTAGAAGAAAACTGGGCATTTTTCGTAGATAGATTAATTCTTATGACTTTGAAAAAACTTTTGTTAAATGTCAGATCAAGTGTCCTGGGAGAGTTACAACAACTTTAAGTGGTGTGGCACTGTAGGATAAGCAGTGGACTGCTAATGGCAAGGTTGTCAGATCAAACCCATGAGCTGCTCCTTGGAAACCCTATACAGGGCCACTATGAGTCAGAACCAGCTGGATGACACTTAACAATAACAATAAGTCATTTCATGGGACAATTAATCTCTAGATGCTCTAAGAACCATGTTTTCAAGGAATGCATTGAGATACAGGCATCTTCCCTCATTATGCCCCCACCTCTACACCAATACTCAGGATGCCTGTTTCTCATATGCCAAGTTGGTCTCACAAAGACTCAAGTCAAGCCTCACAATCCCACAAAATTACATACACAGTTCCTCTTTAAATAGTCCACCAAGTTCCACACCTCTCCTAATACCAAAACCCAAACACAGTGATCCTATGTGCTTTTGCGTAGAGTAGCATTCCATAGTGTTTCCATGGCTGTGACATTTTGGTGCCTTTCTTTCAAGTCACCTCTGGCAGATTCAAACCACCAAACTTTCAGCTTAACTGTATGCACCAGCTAGAAACCCCTTACTACCACCATTCATGCCTACGTCCAAGTTAGCGTCAGAAGAGGCTGGCGCTATCTCTTCTCATGCTGGAGGAGATTACTGAATAGAAGCAGCAGCAGGAAAACAAAAGCTAAAAAAAAGGTAAAGAGTAGGGATTTTAATCAGGAGTAGAAGAAGAAAGACTTGTAAAACATTTTGTAATTCTGTAAATTCACTTGCCCCTCTCTCCGGAAGAAAGGAGTATAATAAGAAGGGAACTTTTGCTACAAAGTAATTTTCAGAAAGCAAGTGAGAACATGCTGGGCATGGACCAAACCACAAGATGCCAAGACTTAGATTATGGTAACTATAATGGGAGTTGGACGGCAAGAAACTCAAAACTCTAGAAAGGAAACATCCTCCACCTGCTTAACTTGACTGCTGCCTCATATTTCTTCCTCTTCTTTCCCAGTATTACCTTTCAGTAGAATAATGAGTTGCTCACCCTTATAATTCTGACATTGAAAATCTTGATCAAAAGGCAGATATGACTTACTGGTGAGGTATTGAGAAAGAAACTGAATTTAGTATGCCCGTCTCTACCATTTCAATAGCTTGTTTCATTTCCAACTTCTTGTACAAAGAAACAATGCTTGATTTGGGCTGGTTCCTTCGGATTAGAATTTTCCGTAAGTATCTATGATCAAACTTCTTAAACCTGAAATATGAAAATCGACACTGTAGAAATCTTTCATTTCTTGTTTATGTTATATAAGCATGTACTTTTCTTAAATGTCTACTTATCTTTATTCTGAAGAAAAAAAATGACATGGATTCATAGCCTTTACACACATTTTAAAAGAAAACAAAAACCAACACAGTATTTATGCATTAAACACATACACACACAAAAGAATGGCCAACTGGCCTGCACACTGAAAATCAGCTAAACAAAAGGAAAGGACAAGCTGCAATCAGGGCAAAAAAGTGTGCGTAAGTGGGAGTGGGAGTGGGAGAGGCCCAGCCCCTTGCAGCTCCAATTGTGAGAGGAGAAATGAGGGTGGTTGGGGCTTTTGAACAAGTGTTCCATTCTAATAGCTCATAACAGCAGCTGCACTTACAGTAATACTGGCCTATTCAGCTAGAACCCAATAAGTTTAAATGGTCCGGTAGTTACAGTAGTTTGGGTCTATTATGCTGCGGATCATTTTGAATCCTGCCAATTAAGGGGGGAAATAAAAACCCACGTACGTCCCGACAGTCTAAATGATGGGGACACTGAATAGGCTAGACACTGATGGAGGAGACCATTGTTGTGTACCTCTGGCCAGCGCATTAGAGACTGAGATGCACGTATGCATGTGGTCGTCATAGGACGCTGCTGTTTGTTTGGAGCAGGAATTTACATCACTTTCAATCACTGTACATTCAGAGTTGTTTCCCCGGCCTGCTTTATTCTCTGGAGAGGAATATGGCTTCCTGGACTGCGGCCTTATTGTCTTTTTATTGGTTTCCTGGTCTGAGGCAGTTAAACTCATGATTAGCTAATTCTTCTCCAGGTGTAATGCTCTGTGATTCTGTGATTAGTGTGATTTGTCTTGGAAACATCCTAGGTCGTCCATTTTTGCTCCAACTGGGTTGCCCCTCAACTTTCTGCCCTTCTTCATAATATACCATTGTTTCTGTTTATTCCTCAACCTGCTGCCATCCACTTTCTAACATTCACTTCTCTGACACTTCTTTCATGAAGCTCATCTTGACCTCTATAATGGGAATCCCCAGGTGTGTAAGGAGTCCTGGTGTGGTGCTGTAGGTTAATGCATCAGACAGCAAAGCCATTTGTACTGCAAAGTCGGTGGTTCAAGCTCACCAGCTGCTCCTTGGAAAACCTATACAAGGTTGCTATGGGTCAGAACTGACTCTACAGCACATAACAACAACAACAGATATGCAAAGGAGCCCTGGTGGCACAGTGGTTCATCACTTGGCTGCTGAACAAAAAGTTGGTGGGTCCAGACACTCCATAGGAGAAATAGAGGAAGATGTGGCAATTTGCTCCTGTAACTATTACAACCTTGGAAATGCCTATGGGGGAAGTTCTCCTTTGTCCATTAGGGTTAGGGTTGCTATGAGTCAGATTTGTCTCAGTGGCAATGTTTTGTTTTGTTTGTTTTTGGTCAGGATGTACAAATGAGCTCACCTGCTAACTAAAAGGTTGGAAGTTCAGGTCCACCAAGTGGCCCTTGGAAGAAAGGCCTACTGATCTGCTTCTGAAAAATCAACCATTAAAAGCTGTATGGAAGCACAGTTCTACTCTGACACACATAAAGGCATCATGAATCAAAACTGACTCAGTGGTAAGTGGGCTGTATACTATTCCCTTCTAGGTGTCATTATTGCCCTTTCTTGCCACTTTGTGTTCCCTCAGGCCCTGGGTCCTTTCCTCATGCACTCCCCACTCTGACTTACTCTTTCTTGTTTTCCTTCTGACCTCTCTGATCAATTCTTCTCAGTCTCCTTTTGCCTTTTCTCTCTCCTGCCTGCCCTACAAGAGTGGGAGCTTCTCAGAGCCCTCTCCTAAGTGATCTCCCCCCTTCACAGCTTCACATTGATTCACTCAAGCCCAAAGATTCAGTGACAAGCTACTCACAAACAAGAACCTCAGACTCAATTCCCAAAAGTTATCTGAGCATATGCTTGAAAAATACCTTAAATGGAACCTATGATTCAATCTCTAAATATTCCTATGTAAATAAATGTTTAATCATGGTATTCTTTTTTCCCTTGGTTTCCTACCAGATAGGATATTTTCCCTTTCCTTAAGTACTCTCCCTAAACTCCTAGCCATCTGTTTCAGAAACATCTTAGTCACTCTTCTGCTAGCTTTTTATCCATATGGTCTGAAATTTCTGTGGTTTATTCTTTTAAAAAAAAGAGGGTTTAAAGTCAGAATTGAATTCAAATCAAATTTCTGCTTTAAACAGGTTCAGTGACCACTTTGAGGTGATTTTCTCACCTTTAAAATGGGAACAATAGCAATTAGACAAGACTCAGGAAGACAACTGAGGTAATAAAAAGTAGCTGGCATAGTACAAGGAGCTTACACTACGTTTTAAAAAACTGTAGTTTTTTGTTTTGATTTAAATTCATACATCTATTATGAAAACCCCTTTATAGGTTTCTCACCCACTAAACCCACCAGCTGCTCCTTGGAAACCCTATACAGGATCGCTCTGAGTTGGAACTGACGTGATGGCACTTAGTAACAACAACAATATCTCTTTTCAATCCATACTCCTCCACATCACTGCTATGGTTTGCTTTCCAAAACCCAAGTCACACCTCTATTTAAATGCCTTTTTGATGTGAGTTTTAAAGCTCAAATAGAATTTTACAGCATAAGTATTTGTGTAGAATTCTTTAACATTGAGCTATAAAAGCTTGTCTCTGTCTTGCCAACTTCTGTCCTCACTCTATCACCTTCTCTGCCTATCTTCAAACCATAGTATGCTCTTTTCTGGCCTCCCATCCAAATATACTACTTCCTGGGATGTATTTATTCTTCCTTGTCTAAGGCACCAGAAACCAGTAGCTGTAGAGTCAATTCTGACTCATAGCCACCCACGTGTGTCAGAATGGTGGTGGTGGTGTGCTGTGGAGTCAGTTCCAACTCACAGCAACCTTGTACAAGATTGCCTAGGCTGTAAGTCTTTACCTGAAGGATGGCTGATAGTTTTGAATTCTGACCTTGAGATGAGCAGCCTGACTTGTAATCACTCTGCTACCACAGCTCCTTGTCACAGTTGAATTATGAAAGCAAAACAAAAAACCTGCATTTTTTTAAATACATAGGATAAGCTCCATAGGGTTTTCAATGGCTGATTTTATTAAGATGATGTTGAGAACTTTCTTCCAAGCTACCTCTGGGTGCACTTGAACCTCCACCTTTTTGGTAAGCAACTGAGTTGGCTAACTGTACCACCGAGGGACACCTTGACTAGAAGAGGACTCTGTCTTCTGTGCTATTATAGTTTTAAACATTTACTTTTATTGTATAATTTGCTATACTGATGATAATAATTTGTTAGATTCTTTCTTTTCTTTCCCCCACTGCCTGTCAGCTATAGATAGGGCAAAGATGTGAGGGCAATACGTCTTATACTGTTGTTGTTAAGTTGTTACGAGTCAGTTCCAACCCGTAGCGACCCTGTATAGGGTTTCTGAGGAGCAGCTGGTGATTTTGAACTGCCAACTTTGCGGATCAAACCGACATTGCAGTCCAGTGCATTAACCTGAAGAGCCACACCAGGACTCCTTAGTGCCTAAGATATGTTGTTGTTAAGTGCTGTTGAGCCCTTTTTGACTCATAATGACCATGTATAGGGTTTCTGAGGAGTAGCTGGTGGGTTTTAATTGTTGACCTTGTGATTTGCAGTCCAGTGCTAATCCCACAGCACCACACCAGAAATGCTACCTAAGATTTGGGTAAATGAGAGAATATTGAATAATTTTTCATAGGGAACACTGTAAAATTTAGACTGAAACATTTATGATCTAAAATCTAGATCAATGTACATTCATATAATTTAAATTCTACTTTATCATAATGAGACTACTAAAGCTATTCTTTCCACCAGATGAAAAGAATCCATCATAAAGCTCTCAGTTTTTCTTATATTTGCCACCATTTCACAACTGCTGTTTTTCTAAGTTCTGGTCCCTCTTGGCATCACCAGCATCAGTATGTGTGGGAGGTGGAAGACTAGGAGGGCAAGCTCTAGAGAGGAAACAGTCTCCAGTTGGCTGACTTGACTGTTGCTTAATGCCACAATCTCCAACAGCTGAGTATAATGACAAAATTCTCTCCTTCCTCATTCTCAAGGAGACTTTTCTCAGAGCCAGGTAATGAAAACACCATTCATTCCATAGCTGACATATTCTTATCATTAAGAGTCTTTTCCTTGTTTGGAATTTAAATCTGATTTTCGATTTCTATCCATCAGTTGCACTACTCCTTGAAGCAACCTACAGCAAGTCTATAGCCTCCTCTACCACTAGCTGTTTGTTTTCCAGGCTAGACATTCCCAGAACTTCAATACGCTGTTCATGTAACATGGATACCAGCACTTTTAGCTTCCTTATCCCATTCCTCCAGATACTTCCTACATTTATGCCCAACTCCAATGTCACCTTTGGAGATTCTCCATACCACAAAGATTCTTTCCCATATCATGAAATCATTGGCTTCCTTACTTGTCTCTCACTTGGTAGTGGCTCCATTGCCCACACACATCTTCAATTCCAGCTTTCAAATGATCCATCAGCTGCCAAACCAAACACAAGAACATGATTGCTAGTGAAATGGTAACTCTGAAAGACAGAGAAGGAACATGAATACATTTGGGAAAACAAAGGCAGCTTTACTATGTTGGAGCATATATATCCTCTTTGCTATTACTTGGTTCATGTAACTGAACTATATATACTGCCTATCAGAGTAATTCAACTCAGTTTCATTATTCAAAGACTCTACTGATAAGTTTCTTGATAATGCACAGAATTTGTTATGAAAGCAGGATACCTGGCACTTGCTTTGTATAATATTTTACTAAAATTATCTAGGAAATTTCTCATTACTGAAATCACACTGATACAAAGCCTAATAATTAACTGCTACTTTGAATTACATTGCAAAAGAAAAGAATATGCCAGTATTCAATTTTCTATTTAAAAAATATATAATTCTATAGATATTCTATGATAATTAATAACATATAATAACAAAACTTATCTGTGTACCCCAACTTAAGACTAATTATTTTTGATAAGTAATTGTATTTCATTACCCAAGCCAATAATACATTTGTTTTATTCAAAATAGTTTTCAAAATTTAGGAAGGAGAAAAATCTGTTTAGTAACTACGAGTTACTCTCCAAATAATTTAAATATATAGTTATTAAAGTCTATGTTGCATTCTGAGTTTTTACAAGATAAAATACTAAATTAATTCTTGAATATTTAATTGATTCTGTGGATTTTTTAAAATACCAATAATCAAGTATAGCTTTCTAGAGAAAAAGAAAAAGAAATCAGAAAAGAATTAAACATCAAAGGTTTATTGTCCTAGGAATATTATTTAATTTCTCAAAACAATGAATCAGAGATGATAAAGACAGTGACAAAAGTCTACAATCAGGTTAGGGTAGTGCATTTTTAAAATACTCACTTCCCGTTATCATGTGTTTAATATTTTCAAATGACCTTGAAAACATTTAATTTGTGTTAACTGGAATTTAAATTACATTATTTCCTCAGGTGACTTTGGCCTTCATACTCAGTGCTGAGTTGGGGAGCCTTCATCAGTTTTTCCAACATTAGAACTTCCAGGGATGGAAGTTCCAACATTAGAACTTCCAAGGATGGAACAAACCTATAAATTATCTAGTTTAGTCATCTTCCCAAAGCTTGAATCTTCTGTGTAGTCACTCTGCCAAGTGTTCCCCCCAAATTGCTTAAAAATTGATTTCGTCATTGGATGCACCCAAGTATTATTAGAATGCTCTTTCATTTCGTATACTACATATCTCTCTTGCTATAACTTCCATATATTGGTTCTTATTTGTATTTCTTGGAACTATACAGAATAGAAGGAACTTTACTGGTGCAGTGGTTTGATTAGTACTCATGCTAAACAAAAGATCATTGGTTCAAAATTACCAACTGCTCTGCAAAAGAAAGATGTGGTAGTCTGCATTCATAAATATTAGCCTTGAAATCCTGTGGGATAGGTCTACTGTTTCTCGGAGAGTCACTATGAAGCTCACAACCTCACCTATGCCTAGTTTATTAATAACATTATTAGATGGTGAGATTTCAAACTTTTGAGTTGACAAGATTTAGATGAGATTTTGGACTTGGAGTTGATGCTGTAATGGGTTGAGGCTAGATGTGAGGATAGAAGGAATAGATTTTGTGCCAATGTCAAATGTGAATCTTTGGTGGCCAGAAGGCAAACTGGTAGACAGAATAATGGCTGACCTCCCAAATATGTCCTCATTCTCATCCCCAAAACCTGTGAATATTTTAGGTTTTATGGAAGAGAAGAGCTTGAATTGCTGACCTTATGGATCAAACCAACTTTGCAATCCAGTGCATTAACCCACAGTGCCACACCAGGACTCCTAAGTGGAGTATAGGGAACAGATTTTTAAAATAAAAGTTAAGCTAAAAATAATTACTATCTATAATTTGCCTGTGAGAAGAGGTGGCATTAACTTCCTTTCACCCATGGGAAAACCAAGTAGGTTGATGAAGTCACTGGAAATCTTGTTTGTATAAGATGTAAATTTGGTCTAGTTTATTAGAAATTATATGGTTGAAGGTAGGAAAGAAAAGGGAGTTTGCAGTAGAAATTGATAGTACTCATGTTCTCTTCAAAAAATGATGTTGCCAAACTGGAAATTCATTTGCAGAAGAATGAAACACAACTCATATCTCATATATCATATACAAAAATGAACTCAACATGGATTAAAGACCTAAATGTGAAACTTAGAATTATAAAGATCACAATGAAAAAACAGGACATGTTTAGGGGCTCCAATGCATGGCATAAAAACAATATGAAGCATAACTGAAAACACAGAAACAGCAGAAGGCAAAATAGATGTCTGGGACCACCTAAAAATTAGGTGGATCAAAATATTTCACCAAAAGAGTTAAAAAAACAAAACAACAAAAAACTGGGAAAATAATTTTTGGCAATGACATATCAGACAAAGGACTACTCTTTAAAATGTATGGAACACTTTAACACCTCAACAGGAAGAAGACAATCCAATTTAAAAATGGGCAGAGGACATGAACATACACTTCACTAAAGAAGATATTCAGATGGCCAACAAACATACGATCATTAGCCATTGGTGAGATGCAAATCTAAGCAACAATTATCTGTTGGCTTACCCCAGCATTGCTAACAAAGTTAAAAAAAAAAACAGAAAACAACAAATACTGACAAGGGTGTGGATAGACTGGGACCTACCTACTCTGCTGCTGTGACTGTAAAATGACACAACCACTGTGGAAAACAGTATGGCACGTCCTCAAAAAATTGGAATTAGAAAGACCATATGATCCTGCAATACCTCGGCTTAGTATTTATGCTCAAGGAAAGAGAGCTGTGACATGAATATATATATAAATGCACACTGTAGTGGTTATGAATTGGGCTGTGAACTGCAAGGTCAGCAGTTTGAAACTACCAGCTGTTCCACAGGAGCAAGATGAGGCTTTCTGCTTCTCGTAAAGAGGGTCTTCCTCTTTATCTATGTCCCTCTACTTTACCAAGCATGATAAACCTCTCCAGGGACTGGTCCCTCATGGCAACATGTCCAAAGTATGAGAGACAGAGTTTCCATTGTTGTTGTTGTGAAGTGCCGTTGAGTCGATTCCAACCCATAGTGACCCTGTATAGGGTTTCTGAGGAGCAGCTGGTGAGCTTGAATCACCGATCTTGCAATTCAAATGGCTTTGCAGTCTGGCACATTAACCCATAGCACCATACCAGGACTCTGAGTAGAAGGCAGACACATATTAATTAACTTGGCTGATGAGGAAGACAATCTATAAGAGGGAGGCTGGCAGAGGAAAGATGAAGGCAGTGGAAGACACAGGGAAAAGTACAAGAGTTAAAGTAATTAGAGGTAAATACTGTTAACTGATGGCACATGGAGGGGATTACAATCATTAAAATGTCATGAAGTATATGTTTTTTTAAAATATGGAACTGATTACATGTTATGTAAGATTCCACTTAATACACAATAAAAAGTTAAAAAGCAAAACGAAACAAAAAAATGGGGCCTGAGAGTTCCCACTACCATTAAGAATGAAGAGCCAGGGGTGGAGTGTGTCCTTTGGACCTGGAGTCCCTGCGCTGTGAAGCTCCCAGATCCAGGGAAGAGAATGCTGCCAAGATGTATGGAGAGCTCCAGGGAATACTGAAAGGACCCGGGGATCATTATCCAGAGCCAGAACTCCAAATCTGGACTTTTGATCTCCGAAACATCATGATAGGAGGCATGGTGCGGTCCTGTAGGATAAGCATTCAACTGCTAACTACAAGGTCAGTGGTTCAGACCCACCAATCACTCCTTAGAAACCTCACTGTGAGTCACAACCAAGTCCACAGCAACTAACAGCAACAATCTCCACCCTAACAAAACCCTTTATTTTTGTCTTTGCAACCTAGAGAATCACAATTGGCCCTCTGGTCAGCTCCTTGGATGTTAAAAAGACGAATAAAGAAGAATCAAACAACAAAACATCATGATAAATGATGGAAAGATGAATGCTATCAACGATTTCATTATGCTTGGATCCACAATCAACACTCATGAAAGCAGCAATCAAAAATCAAATAATGTTTTGCATTAGGCAAATCT